TTCATAAGGAAAACGGGTCTTTAGGCCATACCCAAAGGGGCGAGGAGGATTTATAACATGTTCTTATGAACAGTAGAATTGTAAATGGGTTGATTTATCAATGTCATGCTCAAACTGTGCCGGAACAACCTAGGCGGAACTGCTACTTTTTCTTTCCTCCTCTGTACTATTGTCATTTTTCCTCTACTTCTTTTGTATGTTTGTCACTCTCTTGTGACCTGCTATTTCCGGGGTGCCTAGATAGTCGAAGAAGACCTTGTGCTGGTGAAGCTAGAGGGGTGAGCACTGATTCCCCCGTTTGGACTTCTATGTTGACATCCACCCATTAGCGCAGTTGCAAGCGCCGTAAAATCTTACGAACACTAAAAACTAAAAGAGGGGGGGGGATCTTTTATACAATTTCAACTGTACATATGCAACATTTTACTCAGCTGAATGAAAAACATGTGAAACGAGATTCAAACTCTGGTTTTAATTAATTAATCTTTCTACCAAAAAACACCCATAAACAATCAAACCAAAAAACTAATCAACAAATCAAGGGATGCTTCGTCTTTTTATAGTAAAATAACCAACATGACATGAGCGTGGTTATAGTGAGATAAATTTCCATCAATTTGCACGTCGAGCAATGCTCAATTGAAGGTCTTGATTACCTTTCACTACAACTACAACAGCCAGTTTTGTCCAAATACATCAATCCAGGCTTGCCAACATTTTACAAAATCCAATCATAGACATCCAACGTTATAGCATCAAACTACATAACAAAGAACAAAATTACACAAAGTTAGGCTGGTTTTGGTCATGTGATAGAATCCAAGTTCCTGACTGCTGAATCCGTAACAGTCCTGGGAAAGCCCAGATGGTTGGCAAGCCTTCCAATCTGCCAGAATGACTTTTGTTGGCATAATATAACATCCTTGATAGTAACAAAAGAAGTTTAAAAACAAACAAAATGGATGCAACCTGTAATCAATGCTTACGGCAAACTGTCTTCAATTTTACTACTGTTACCTAGACGCTGGGACACATTCATATGAATATCATTTCCATAATAATCATTTCATTTCTTTATCTATGATTAAGAAAAAAAAAACTACAAAAAAATCAACAAAAAACGTTACTGTTAGACAGTTAGCTGTTCGTTGGGAAAATGAAAAAATTGTAGATGATTTATACTCACGATCTAATCCACCGATGTACTTCATTGTGATTTCACAGTGTCCCCACACTGCGCTGACTATTGGGTAGAGCTTCTTGCCCTTGAGTCCTCGAAAAGCCACGCCTAAATACTGTCCATCCACAACGAAACTTAGTGTCCCCTCGTCCATGTCTAACACCACAAGAAAACTGTCTGGCACAACAAAATTTTCGTCTGAGTTGAGTAAAGTCGGGTAAGTGACCCCCGGCGTATTCTTCATGTCATAGTACAACTTATTCCGACCGAGATCCCAGCCCCAGGAGTCTTTGCTGCTGCCCACCAGGCTTTGGTACCCGACGCAGTGTAGCGGGGCGTCGCTCGTGGCCACCCCGACCACCGCGTGCGTACCCCGCTGCCGGGTGCTCCAGAAAATTTCCCACACGTGGAGCCCCCTGGTGTACCCAAACCGCCCCCTGATGCAGTCCGTGCTCTGAGCCACAGGGTGTCTGTGGAAGGTCATCTGGTCATCGTCCTTCACGAAAATGTTGAGGGAACGATCGTCGGCGTTCCAAGCATGTTTTATCTGCTGCTCACGTGAGCAGGAGGGCATGTCCAGCAAGGCATCGAGCCGGCTGGGTTTCTGAAAGTCTGGACTGTAAGCGGGCTCACGGTTTATAGCTTTGTACGTTGGCTCCCGAGCACTGGAGATGGTCTTGATTCCCCCTGAGACTTTCTGCCCCATGTTCATCCTTTGCTCTCGCACTCCCCCTATGTTTGCTAATGTTTGAAAACACACGTACATTCAAGAATCACTTTGCAATACTTATCAATTATAAAGATGGAAAAAAAATCACATTCCTCAAAGCACAATCTGATACTTTCCTGATGTCTTGTAACACTCTGATCACACAAACCCAACACAGAGAGCCTTTATAACTGGGACCGATCCTCAGGGGAAATATAGAAGCTAAAACTAAATAAAACACACATTGGTCTTCCAAATCACCATTAAAAACAAATGAAATGATAGATTCACCGCAAACGCATATTACTCATTAAAAGGGAAAAAGCGTGGATGCAAAGCACATTTCCTGCCTCCCCAGTAGCCACAGGATTGAATGAAACAGACTTGAGATGATGCAGCTGCTGCCTTGGAGTGGTGATTACAATATGGTTCGCAGAACTTGTTTGCAACATTACTCAAACTCCTGTGAGGAGAAAAAAACAGACAAACGTGGTTTTAGAACAAAATTCAAGCAATGGTTTTTAAAATAATGTAAAAAAAATAAAAATAAAATAAAAATATAAAAAACAACAACCCAACACACTATTCTAATGAATAACTAAAATTTGATCTACTATTTGAGTGCTATTTCTTCATTCTAGATTGGGCAATTAACATTTTTTACACAAAATCTGTACAATGTGCAGCTATGATTTATCCATTCCACTTTTTGTTATAATTTGTTGTTTTTCTCTGGGGCTGAATTAATCTGGAAAATGACATTTATCAGGACCTCTGGAAACGAGGTTTAAATTCAGAAATTTCCAAATAAATCAGGGGAGGTTGGCTGGTCTGATCTTATCAGGGTTTTTCACTGTAACATAGTTTTGTACCCAGCATGACCCTGAGCAAGTTTTGATAAGCGAAAAAACAAAAAAGATCAAAATGAAATGCAATCTACAGTACATTCAGTTTGGTAAAGAGTTTTACCAGGCTGGCAAATGCGAATGGTTATGGTACTAACTACTTCACAATAAATGATAAAATTGCAGGTCAGGAGGAAGTAATTACATTGACCTAAACTAACACAGTGAGTTGAAAGTTTAGGCAACACAAATGCTGGCATTCTGGGTAGACACCCAAAGATGTTTTAAGTTAGGAACTGTGTATGATATTAATTACTAGCTCCCTATGACGAAACTAATAGAGATATTGTTGCTCCATTTTATAAACACACAAACAAATATGGCTCTCCACATCCGTACTCCTCCAACAAATAACCTGTCCAGTCCTTCCTGAAAAACATTTTAGATGGAAAAGAACAATAAAACGGAAATTTAACTATTGGAAATACTGAAAAACAAATAGACAATAACCTAACTTCAAACAAATTATATAAACTACTCTAAATGACAAATAAATTATATGCTGAAAAGCAGTGTATGCCGTCCTGGTTCGAACTTCCAAAGAGGTGATCGTGAATGTGGATTATGCAGGCACTTTTCATGGTTCTCCATACTTACAGAGAAATATGGTCAATCAGAGGGGCTGCCTCTTAATCAACATGACTGTATCCACATTACAAAGATAAAAATGACAGAAAAGTACATTACCTCCGGACAAGACCTTGCAATGATAAAACAAAGGACAGCATGAGAAGAACTTGAAATTGTGGAAGAACTTGCAACCGATGAAGAATCGAAACAATGGACAGAAATATTTACCCATCGCATAACCCTGAGGTGCAGCTGATCATATTGTTCTTGCATATATATTCAGAGATCCATATCAATCAACCTCACCACTGTTACAATTGTGTGGCTAGATAGATCTGGCTTTAAAACACATTGCCATTATTTTTAGTCTATGATGCTTATAATGGCCGCGCTCTTGCTTTTCTATCGACTAGATCCACATCAGCCGCAGAATGAAAGGGAAGTGACATTTTCAATCAGGTTTTCATCCCATCCAAAACATGCCCGCATATCATGTATTTTTTTTTTAAAGGATGTGTTGTTATCTGAGAAAGACTACCTGTGATTTGTCCTCAATGACCGGATATCTCCGAAAGGAAGATTGTAAGATGATTTATTTGAGAGAGAGAGAGTGTGTGTGTGTGTGTGTGTGTGTGTGTGTGTGTGTGTGTGTGTGTGTGTGTGTGTGTGCGTTCGCGAGCTTTTATGTGTGCGATTTTTGTGTGTGTTTGCTTTAATTGTTCTTGTCTGTGTAAAAATAAGCCCACCTTACCCCCACCCAAAGTCACCTCCCCTTCCCTCGCCAAATCTTCCCATCCGGACCCAAATAAACGCCCGCTTCACCCAACAATTTTCCAATCCCCTCCCCCCTCCGCCCTCCTCACCTGCCACCTCACTTCTGTCCCATACCACGAAAACGCCCACGCCACTGTTTCTCTTAGCTCTTCCATACACCTCTTCACCTCACCCAACCACCATACCA